ATTTATGAAATAAAAAGCATTTCGAAAAAAATCTTAGTTATCACCTTTATGTACTGTCGTCTTCAATTGTCTGTATTACCTGTTTAAGCATTATTAATTTATTGTTCATACGGGTATTATTAATTGAACATTACTATTTTTACCGAATAATAAGTCGGTACAGTAATTATTAAATTCATTATAAGTCTATTTTATTACTAAGTTACTTTTTAAAGACATTTTGTTTAATTTTAAAATAATATTTTAGCAGACTTTAAACTAACATGACAGACAGAATGATGATTTTTTATTGACAAGTTGCAGTAATCACATAAACTACTATGTGAGTTACTTTTAATTTGTTGTTTGCACAGCTAACAATTTAAGTTCAAGGATAGTTCATATTGTATTTATATTAATCGTCCTCATGTAGTAAATGGTCTTAGCTTTTTTATTTTTAATTTGTAACCGTAATTTTGAAGTTAGGAGAATGCTATGAATACCAAATATGCTAGATGGCAAAAGCAAAAAGGTATCCTTAGTTAATATTTATGAACGAAAGAAATAGTGAACTTGACCATAATGTTGATATCACTATTTTCATAGACATAACTTTTTGGGAGAGTAGGGGTTAAAACTTGACCCTTTTCACAGTTGGGTTTTTGTTGAAGGTTTCAATTAAATTGTAGACAACTATTAAAGTCCCATTTAATTAGGATATTTTGAATTAGGAAAATAAGATTTAAATCTGTTGCTATTTTTCAAAACTGTCAATTTTATTAATTTTTCAAAAAATTATTTCAATTAGATTTAATAGAAATTTTTGATATCAAAAAACATTTATAAAATATCTTAATTGTGTTGAGTTCAATTAACCATATTTTGTTTTCTAATAAAATCGAATAATTTTATTCAGTTTTGTTTTCGGTTGTTATAAATATTACTGATAATATTGAGTAGTAAATAGTAATAAATAGTGAGTTTTTAACTAGGGAAATATAATGAAAAAATCATCAGCGTAATAGATTAAAAAAAATTTTCTATGCTTTTCCATTAATACTTCCGCTTTGCTTAATATTCAATCACGCGTAGAATATAATTAAGATGATTACTTATAGGGTTCTTTGACCTATGATACGCATGCGATATTAATGTTATTTTGAGGTATAACAAAATTACAAGCTTTGTATGATGAGGATTGATTATGTCAACTTATTTTGTCCATCTTTTTATAAGTTTAAGGCAATTTCACTTAACAGACTGTAGAGGTGAGAAAAAGTAAAATCCTTTAATTTTACTATTCTAAAATTTTTTTCATAAGTCTAGTTTATATTATATTTATTTATTTACTTACGCCCTAGGGCAAAAGAGTGAACAAAAAAATACAATATATAGTTGACTTAAGATTAAGATTAAGAAATATAAAATAGATTTTAGCTTCGATGCGAAGCTGTGAATATATTAATTGTACTATGATGTGTTTTTATTTATTTTTTGTGTCTTTAAACGCTCAATCTGAGCTCTCGCTAGACCGATTTTAATGAACAATACGTCAAAAGATCACAAATTATATCTAATCGAAGACATTACCCTCAAATTGAAAATTGAATTGAAAAAATTTCACTCGTTGCCCGTAAATTGAGGAAATCTCCAAAAAAATTACAAATTTAAAAATTGTTTATTTTTGACATTTTTTTCTTAAAACTGCCATAATTTTTTTTAAAAATTACCAAATAAATATAATTTTTTTTTATAGATGCATGATGTCTTTACCTATCATTTGATATATATTTTTTATAAATCTGNCTTAAAACTGCCATAATTTTTTTTTAAAATTACCAAATAAATATAATTTTTTTTTATAGATGCATGATGTCTTTACCTATCATTTGATATATATTTTTTATAAATCTGACCCTTTACCTGCCCACGGTTGATTCAAAATGTCAACTTTTTCAACTTAACTTTGAAAGTGTTCCGGAAATATTGACACTTTTACATATATCTTAAACTGAAGTTTATGTAATATATTTTAATGTGAAAAAAAAAAATCTCGGACTTAATTTTGTCTTCATTTTCCATATTTGAGGAAAAGTACCAAGGGTAAGGGACATACTAAACAAAGTGTGGATTGGACGAGCGAGGGCATAACAACATTTAGATAAAACTATTGGGGGTATACGAGGTGTGTTCAAAAAGTAAGGTGACTTGATATTTTTATGAAAAACTATTTATTTATTCATGAATGTTTATGTTGTCCCCTTCAAAGTAATCCCCCTCAGATGTAATACACTTGTGCTAACGCTTTTTCCAATCTTCGAAACACTTCTGATAAGCACTTTTTGGTATAGCCTTGAGCTCTTTCAGCGATACAGTTTTTATCTCGCCAATCGTTGCAAATCTTCGTCCTTTTATAGGGTTTTTCAGTTTTGGGAACAGAAAAAAGTCGCATGGGGCTAAATCCGGTTAATATGGTGGCTGAGGCATGATTGTGGTGTTGTTTTTGGCCAAAAAAAATCTCTCACAAGCAACTATGAGTGAGCAGGTGCATTATCATGATGCAAAAGCCATGAATTGTTTTTCCATAATTCCGGACGTTTTCTTCGTATTGCTTCTCGCAAATGACGTATAACTTCAAGATAATACTCCTTATTGACCGTACGACCTTGTGGTAAGAACTCCTGATGCACTACGCCACGACAATCGAAGAAAATGGTGATCAAAACCTTGACATTTGATCGAACTTGGCGTGCTTTTTTCGGTCTTGGCTCTCCTGAGCTCTTCCATTGGGACGATTGAACTTTGGTTTCGATGTCATAACCATATACCCATGATTTGTCACCAGTTATGACCCTTTTGAGCAAATCAGGATCATCATTGACGTCATTCAACAGCTCCAGAGCGATGCTCATGCGACGATTCTTCTGGTGAAAATTAAGCAGTTTCGGAACAATCTTCGCTGACACACGTCGTATGCCCAAAATATCCGAAAAAACTTCATGGCACGAGCCAACCGATATGCCAACATCCTCAGCAACTTCTCTGATAGTGATTCGTCGATTTTCCAAAACAATTTTCTTCACTGCTTCAACATTTTCATCTGTTGTTGACGTACTGGGACGTCCAGAGCGAGGTTCGTCTTTGGCATCTTCTCGGCCATCTTGGAAAAGCTTGTACCACTTATAAACGTTATTTTTACTCAGAGCGGACTCACCGTATGTTACTGTCAACATTTCAAGTCTATTAGAATACTTAATTCCATTTTTGACACAAAATTTGATGCAAATTCTTTGATCCATTTTTTTTTGATAGCAGAAAATCGCCGAGCACACCAAAATACGTCTAATCTTTGTATGTGTCAAAAACAAACTAAATATGCTATATACTTGAAACTGTGTACAGATGTTCGGTACGAGTGTACCAACATGACATAAAAAAAAATCTAAGATCGAACGGACGTAGCCCGCGAAATTTGAAAAGTCACCTTACTTTTTGAACACACCTCGTATAT